TAATCTCACATCAGCCTGAACTGACAGCATTTTTCATGAAAGTTCTGGACTTCAGAACAGAGCATGCTGAGGTATGCCGAGGTAGCTTGATTGGGAGGATGASCAGCAGCTACACTTCTCTACATGCTAATTCTATCACTTGTTTAAAAAAAGATTAGGAGATTCCACTGTATATGTGCTCTGAAATTCTGCATATCAAATATTCTGTTCCAAGATGTTCCTATGGTAGAAAACATGATAGTTATGTACTTAGTCTGAAATAGACAAAATTAAAATGTGCTTTGAAAGCTCAAATTCTTAAATTTCAAACTTAGAACTATGTTTTCTGATTTTYCTAGGATGATTTAGAGGAAGTTGGTAAGATAGAGGCTTACATTATTGATTGTCTGATCAGTATGGTCATGAAACTTTCTGAAGCTTCTTTCAGGCCCCTCTTCTTCAAGGTAAGAAGCCTAAATGTAATTCAACTGCATCAGCGTGTTTGTGTTTTCCAGTGCACAGACACAGGAGAGAGCTAATCTGCCTTTCACTTTCAGCTCTTTGATTGGTCCAAAACGGAGTCTACCCTAAAAGACAGGCTGCTGACATTCCACAGAATAGCAGACTGCATTGCAGACAAGCTAAAGGGTCTCTTCACCTTGTTTGCTGGTCATTTGGTGAAGCCATTTGCTGAGACACTGAACCAGGTCAACATTTCTAAAACTGGTAAGCTGTCACTTACTGGCTACAGAGAGGCTTAGTCTTGATTGCTGAGAGGTTAATTTTAATTGCTGAAATTTTAATCTTACAGGATTTATTTCACAGCACACATTWCCTTATTTCTCTCTTTTTTTCTTTTAACTGGTAAATGAGAAATCTTCCTCTCTTGGGACCAAAGGACATTTTTCATCCTTCGGCACTAGGCTGTCATTACAAAGTTGAGACCACATGAAAATTTTCAGTGTCAGTCCCAGTGAGTTCCTTGAGTATGAAATTGTGTGGAAAGAGGGAGATTTTTTTTTTCTTTTTGCTTCTTTCATTTTCATTCATTGACCTCTCTTATATGCTAYCTGTTTTATTCAGACTCCTCTAAAACTGGGCAAAAATAGGCATTACTGTTTTCTATGGGAAACTATTTGCCTATCCTATTTGTAGTAACCTGAAGAAGTTCTCAGTATCCACAGGTATGGCCAAGCACTTGTCCTGTAGCCTGTGGCCATTCTCTTTCATCTCCACCAGACTGTGAAGGGCAGTAGCAGACCTGCTGAGGCAGTAGCTTAGTGCCAGATAACATATGACATCCACTTTATTGTTCTGAGTGATGAGTTCTTCATTGCTCTGTAGTACATCCCTTASCTACATTCACAGACTAGCAGTGTTTCTATCCTGCAGGGGGAAGTATTGTGTTTTCATTCTTTTGATGATTTTTTTTTCTTCTCATTAACTCGTGTGTAGATGAAGCTTTCTTTGACTCAGACAATAACACAGAAAAGAGCTGTCTACTGTTGCAGTTCACCACAGACTGTCTGCACAAGCTCTTCCTGTTTGACACCCAGAAGTTCCTGAGTAAAGAAAGAGCAGAAACCTTGATGCAGCCTCTGGTCGATCAGGTATTGACAAACCCATAAAAATAATTCATAGCTGATTTTTTTTTAATTTTGATAGTTAAAAAAAAGTTAGGTGTCAGTCCTGCTTAACAAGAARGGGGGGATTAGTTCATTGTTTTTGGGCTACAAACAGTATTGTTTTGCCTAAGACTCTGGATTAATTTTTTATTCTTTTCTAAATGTCTTCTTTTCTGTAAGGTTCATGTATGCTGTTAAGCTCTTGCAGACCAGTGCACTCCCACTGATGAGCTTTGACTTAATTCTTGAGTACCTGAAAGCCAAAGCTTGAAGAGGTTTTGGCTGGGTTTATCTGAGCCTGGATCTGTTTTGTTTCCACAGCTAGAAAATGTTCTTGGAGGAGATGAGAAGTTCCAGGAAAGAGTGACAGCACACCTGATACCCTGCATAGCTCAGTTTTCAGTGGCAATGGCAGATGATTCTCTTTGGAAACCACTGAACTACCAGATCCTGCTGAAAACAAGGCACAATTCTCCTAAGGTTGGGAGCTGTCAGAATTTGAACTGGTTTTCTTTGTCATGCTAGAAATTGGGAGAGTGCCCCCAAAAGCAGAAGTGAATTAACCAAGTCATTGCTGAAATATTAGCCTAAATTAAAACTCTAGTGCTATAGCACAGTACTCCCAAATTGTAGAGATGTGTCAATGTGCTCTTCTGCTCTCACTGTAAGCAGTCAGTATTCCACATGTCATTCATACTGTGGGGTTTAGGTTTTTTGAAGATTTGGTATCTGTTAGAATAAGAGATAATTATTTGTGTCTAAAGACAGGAGCACTTTAGTGGGGTAACTGGAAGACAGTTACCAACTTTCAGACCTGTTTATTATTATATAGCATTTTGCCAAGACTCTTGTATTGACAGGTTAAAGATATTAAGGGAATGTACTTGGTTTTTCATAGCGCTGAGCGAAGCTCTGACCCACTGGAAGTGGTATTGTGACAGGAGGTTCAAGTCCATTRTAACAAATAACTTCCAGCAACATTACCTGCTTCTTTCAACCTGTTTTTCATTTGCCATTATATTAACCCAGATGTTAATATTTAAATTAGCTTAAAACTAGTTCCATTCTATAGTGAAAGATTATGACCTTGTAATAAATGGGAAGAAGGCAGGGGTGGGGGAAAACAGGGAACTGTACTGCAGTGTTTGTTTCCTTACRTAATCATTTTTGTTTAGGTCCGATTTGCTGCCCTGCTTGCTTTGATAGAAGTTGCACAAAAACTGAAGGAGAACTACCTGGTCCTGCTACCAGAATCTATTCCATTCTTAGCTGAGCTTATGGAAGGTAATGGTCTAAACAGACAGGCTCATTGYCATATGTTTATGCTGTAAATCTTACTTATTGAAAGATGGTAGCTTATACTGTGCAAGATGCAAACTGAAATGGATTATATCAAATACAMTCATGAAGTTCAGTTCAATTATGGYAGTTTCCTCAGTGTTGTAGGGGGATCTCTGGGCCCATCTCTCCATTTTCAAGTTTTAGACCAATGATACAGTAGAAATAGTTTGCCTAATTCAGTGACAAAACATTTCTGAATAATAATTKCATAAATGGTGTTTGAGGGTGGTTCTAGCTTTGATGAGTGATGAAGCCTTCCTAGGGTAGCCTTTTAATCACTGCTTTACTTAATTCCTGCTTAATTTTATTTTTTAGATGAATGTGAAGAAGTTGAACAGCAATGCCAGAAGACAATTCAACAATTGGAAGTCATTTTGGGAGAACCACTCCAAAGCTACTTCTAAGTTTAAGCCCTTTGTTTTCAAATAGTCTGAATTTGTCTGAAWTGCTTTACCACCTTCAGGTTTTACAGGCAAACTGTCATAAAAMTTTTTATCAGAGACAAAATTTTAACTTTTTAATAAAATATTTTAAGAATCTGGCTCTATAATTTCTGGATGGACTGGGAAATTACGATTTTTCCTTAACTGCTCTTTTCTAAACAGTGGGAAACTGGAGCAGGCTATAAACAAATCCACTGTGCTTGGGGATACAGTTACTGTCCCGATAAYGGGAGTGGCTGTCATGCTCCAAGCACAGTACTCTCTGGACCAATGGACTGCAATCYTGAGAAGCTGTTTATTCTGTCATCTGTAGGGAAGTAAAAAGTATACCCACTGAAGAGAAGGAAAAAGAAGTTCCAAGAAACTATGATTTAGTTCCCAAATGAATCTGTTTTATGGTCTTTGAAGGCTGCTACTGATTAACTAAGTTTGACAATTAATTGCTTGCTATAATAATGAATTTACCCAAAAACTTACTCCTTGTATTGCATCACAAGGTGCTGTTCATTACATGAGTAGTAAGTAAGGTACTGAGACTCAGTAAAATAGAGTTTAAAATGCAACTGCATAGAACTGACACTATACAGAGGATAATCTTACACCCCATTGGGTGCTGGGAACAAGCCTCTGTCCCGRGTGCAGCATGCCATGTAAATCCCATAAATGGAAAGATTACCACATGAAGCCCTTACAGATTTTCTTAAGTCTGCTGTCAAACAAAAACGACATTCCCATGAGAACTCCCGCTGAGCTCTTTTAAAGGCAAGGACACACAAGTGCTGTTACTGGCATGAGGAGCTACCTAACMGCTCCTCTGCTGCAATCAGCCAGCTGAGTTTATCCTGGAGCCAAGGGATCTCTACAGCACAGCTCAGCACAACACTGTCCTGAAGGCCACCCCAGCACCACCACAGCCCAGCCCCAAAGCCTGCTCAAGTTAACTAGTCTGTGGATCACTAATTTCCTGATGTGCAAATGGTTCTTCAGTGAGGCTCACAGCCAACTTTGAGATACTGGTAAGGCAATAAGCAGAACAAAACAAGRTAATAGACCAAAAAGGAATTAATATCTACTTAGCTATACTTGGAGAAAAGCAGAGTTCAATATGTTTTTATTGATGCTTTTTATACATTAAATCTGGTTATTTAAAGTCTTTTAGTGTACATACTATTCTTGAAATTGCTTCAGTTTTAGCAGTTTTAAGATAGGCAGGGACATCCTTCAGGCATGTATTGACAACCAGTAGTTAACTTACTTTTAAAAAGAATATAAAAAGATTGACATTTGTATGGAAAATGAATAGGAACAGCTTATTTCACACAGGTAGTATTTTAATACAAGACTGAAAAAGGATTCATTCTCATAATCCACTGATAAGTAGTCAAGTTCCCTCTCAGCTGAAACCCTACCTGGACTACCCGAATTAACAGATTTTTTAAAAATGAAACCCACAAACCTCTACTTCAGGCCCTAAGGAATCTTAACCCAGTTAGAAGCCACTTCAGATCAAAYAAGCTGTCAAAAGTTAACATATTTGAAACCAGCTAAATCACTTTCTCGTGTTTCACTTTGGAAATCTAAAAGGTAGAAATCTTGGGCCCYTTTYAAGCAGGAAGTGAYRTGACCRTGAGTGTCAGAGAAGGTACTATTGCAGCAACAGGCTAAAAAGACCAAACAACTCCTACCTTTTGCCAGAAGTAGTGGATCAACTATTTGCTTAATCAAGCCTCACTGTAAAGACCTGTTATAGGTGCTAACATAAATTAAGACATAGAAAATAATAATCCATAGTTTTATCTTAAATAAATCCTAAACATCCCTTTTGAGGTSGATAACTGTTATCTTTGGATCCTATTTCAGTCTCATTTCTACTTCACAATAACGAATGTATGGTATTGAGGAATGCCAAATGGTAGTTTAACTTAATCATACAGAGTGCAATTGTTAGACACAGTATTATGCAGCATTTTCATATTGCTAGGTTCAGTAATACAGGAGATTTATCTGAGCAAACACTTACTTAGCTTGCCAGGAAACTGTAAACTAGAGAAAGATTTGATCTCGCAGTTAGCATTTCTGGTACTTGCCTAACTCAGAGAGGCAAATGCAAAAGCCTATAGATTAAAGGCAGGCTCAGCATGAGTCAGCACCTGTTTGTACTGGACAAGGAGGCACTGTCATTAGAAGAGGTTAAATTCTTTAAGTACTGGATGGAAAAGAACTACCAGCTCCTCACATCTAACAAGTGAACATCTCCCGTCACCTCCACTAAATTGATCTTTTCAAGCTGTTTAAAACGATGTTTGTACTCCAGAGTGTGAACACCATTAATTGCRACTTTGAACTGGTAGGCATCACAGAAAATAATCAGCTGGAAAGCAAGAAGAGAAACAGTTAAGATTTAAGCTCAGGTAAGATACAAAAAACAATCCTAGCCTACACTTAGGCAAGACCTGTTTCTGTACAGAGAATGTTTCATGTAAAAGCAACATTTAAAAAACAAGAATGGACCATAAATAAAATTCATAGAATCATAGAATAATTTAAGTTGGAAGGGAGMCATAAGGATCAYCAAGTCCAACTCAATTTAAATTTGCTCTGAGCACAGGTTGAATTTTCGCAACTATTTARAAAGGAAACTTATTAAATCAAGACAAATCTCTGCTCTCTGTGGTCCCATTTAATCCTAAATATTCTCAAGACTTGAAATGCAGGAATAGTAGTTTTATGTAAGTCTGTATTAGTAACAGGACATTTAAGCACCAATGCTAATCCATTCGGCAGATTTTCCCGTGTGATGCTAYGTTTCAGTTAATCTTACCTCAAAGTACATCCCTGGACTGAAAGGGAAGTTAGAAACTTCCTTTTCTTCTTCTCCCCAGCTGTCATGAAGATAGGAGTTTCTTACAAAAACTTTATTTTTCATTCGGGGATTAAGATGTAAAGCAATGTCCTTTGAGTCACTTGGCCTCAGATTTATTGCAAAGCTGGAAGATATTTTTTTAAAGTTCACTGACGGTTTACAAACATGACACAGCAGTCAACATCATTTACCAAGTTCTTAGCGAGTACTCAGGGCTGTTTGGGAGCCAGGGCTGTGATTCACTTGAAAACCAAGCAGGCAGCCAGCATGCACTTGTCTCCTTTGTACAAAAACCTTTGCTGAGACAGCAAACCTGARACATGACCCAGCCAGACCCACTTCATCACTCACATGAAGTGATGTCTCAGCAAAAAGGTATTGAGCCAAGAKGGCCAAGAGCTGCTCCCCTACTGCACTAGGAAACAGCATTCCCACAAGAACATATGGAGCTGCCTGCTCCCTCATCTCTTTCACTTTAATGCAGGCAATGGAGAGTGGGAAGCTTTGTTTTTATCTAAAGGCAACATATTCTTCCTGCCGACAAAACTGGTYAGACACTAAGCAAAAGCTTGAGGATTCTCTCCACACATGTAAGACTGGTGGGACACCACACATACAAAATGTTATTTTGTAGGCAGCAAAGATCTGCCCCAGCTGAATGAATACTCTGCAATCTCAGACATGCCCACAAAACAGGGTTCCTAAAGGGAGCTCTGGAGAAGAGTGATCAGAGGAAACAGTCATTCAAATTCAAATGAATGCTTCAACCTGTGGCAAAGACCTTATTCTTGCAATTGAAGAAAAAATATTCCCTCCCCACCCAAATTAGCTCCAATGTCAGGTTGTTGCCCTCTATTCTGAATTAYTCAGTCCAGATAGGAAATACTGCAATACTTCCAAGCTGAGAAGTTCTTCTTCAGCAAGAAAAAGAAACATCTATARCTGCGTGAAATGAGTGAAAGACATGAAATAAGTTATAGACTCTATATAAATATGAGGGCAAAAGCACAAACATAAAAAGCAGACAACCTGCAGTGCTTTAAGAGCCAAAAGCCTCTTCAAGTTTATATGCAGCACATTCAGCACTTAAAAAGTGCTGAGAAAATTTTCAAGCCAATAGAAGGAAAACAAATGCTACTCTGTGAGTATTAATCATCTTATTCAATCTGAAGTCCATCCAAACTTTGTGAATACAGATTCCAGACCTTGGACTCCARTATGAATATGAACTCTGAATCATACTCTGAATCTGCTGTTCAACTGCAGGGAAGAAAAATGTGCCCTGAGGAAGCAGGAGTGCACTGCACATACACAATGTGAAAAGCATGGTTCTCATCATTTGCACTAATTSCTTCAATTTTAGGCATGTTTTTGCAGAGCCAAAACCATCCTTCAAATAAAGGGCGTGCTGAAGCACAGATCTTTCCYCAGCTCCATTTTAAATATGTTGTGCTACCCTCCTCCCCAAACTTTATTTCACATTTGGAAAATGTCTTCTTTGTGACCCATTGTTTCTAATTTGCTATCAAAATTACTGCTTGTACTCCCCTTTCAGCTTTCATGGAATCACAGAACAGCCTGGATTGGAAGGGACCTTAAAGATCATTTCATTCCAACCCTCCTGCTGTGAGCARGGACACCAGACCAGGTTGTTCAGGGCACATCCAACCTGGCCTTGAACACTGCCAGGGATGGGGACACCACAGTTTCTCTGTGCAACCTGTTCTGCTGCCTTACCACCCTCACAGTAAAGAATTTCTTCCTTATATCTAATCTAAATCTACTCTCTTTCAGTTTGAAGCCATTCCCCCTTGTCYGTCACCACATGCTCTTGTAAATAGTCTCAATCTTTCTTATAGGMTCACTTCACATACTGAAAAGCCCCAAATAGGTCTTTTCAAAGCCCTTTTTTTCTCCGATTGAACCATCCCAATTGTCTTAGCCTTTCCTCTTAAGAGAGGGGCTCCATCCCTCTCATCACTCAGTTCTTCACTTTCATCACTCACTTATTGTCAGTTAGGCATCTTCATGCTTATACCAAGGAGGTTTTTCAGAGAAATATTTTAACATGAAGCATTTGAGCACACCAGCAACTCATCTCACTCATCTTTCACCTATTTCTGCCAGTTCCCTTACTCTTGGGTTTCTTTAGAATAAAAGCTGTCACTGTAAGTACATTTGCTCACACTTCTTGCACAATGGAAAGCCTGAACAGACATACAAACTTGTGCGTGACACAGGTTTAGTACGTAAGACACTCAGGTTTTACCTTCACTTTTCACAATGGAGCTGCTCTCTTAAGTCCTCTCTAAAGTGGTGTCCTGCTGATTCCTGAGAAAACTGCATTGTAACTTCAGATGATTCCAGATGCAAAGTTGCAAGTAAGTAAGGCTATACAGAGGCAATGGAAAAGCCTACTCACTCTCAAGAACACTTCAGTTAAATAACAGAAAAAAAATCAGTAACACATACCTCTTTGGGTTTTTATTCACTTCTCCTTTAATGGCAATTGTGCATCCTGGATGAAGTGCAGTATCAAGTTTCCCAACATAAGGAACACCCTGGAAGTAAACCCTCAGTAAAAATTTTGACTGTGACTTACTTTTTTCAATATACAATCTGAGTTTTACTATGGTAGAAAGAAATTTGGCCTAAAATTGCAAATCTGCACTTACAGCTGAAGTAATTCCTACCAGCTTGTTGTGGGATCCTAATAGTAGAGTGGAAAACTTACACTGAGATAAATACATCACTGTATTAGTTTTTAATTTAGGCTACCACCTTGGTTCACACCAAACATTTACAACTACTTCTGTCCCCACTAATGGTGGAAGGAAGGGAAGATGGGGAAAAAAAAAGAAGAAAAAAGTAAGCATGAAACTCTCATTTAAACTATCTAATAGTTTAAATCCTTACCACATAATTTTTCAGACTTAAATCTGACTTCTCATCTCTGGAAGTGTCAGTTTTGCTTTAAACATTAAGACTCATGCCAAAGTGTGGTGTTGTCCCATGGTTGCATAAGTGCTAGAATTAGAGCAAGCAAGGATTCTGCCCTCCTGGTAGCAATTCATAATGACAGACACTGCAAGTATTTTATGTGTCTTATTTTTTGTGTTAGAAGTTATTTTTATCAGGGAAAAGAAGGGAATAGAGAAGCACTTCACTATGTTTTTGCTGAAGTCCACCACTAGCAAATTACAATGTTACATGTTATTTGGTTTTGAAAAAAAAACAACCTGAAGAAGACAGGTTGTCAAGTCACAAAGCATCAAAAATCATGCATTCATTAAAACTTTACCTTCTCCACAAATTCTATGTGTATRTATTCCTGGCTTTCAACCCCTGTTCAGTTTGAATGTGGACCGTATGCCAGGGTGGATACAGTCCACCTGCACATGATTTTGCAAAAAGATGAGCACTCTATCAATACTCCATTGTTAACTGCATGTAAGTGCCACCCCTAAGGTGCAATGCTTGCATCCAGCTATCTGAAGTGTACACAGGGATCTGTCAGCRAGAACAAAATTTTTAGCAGACAGGTTCCAAGACACACGTTAACTTAATATGACTGCAGAATACTTTGATTTGCAGGTATTCCCTAAGGCAGAGAAAACAAAATATGCTCATTTTGATATGTTTGAATGTGACCTGGTCCTTTAAAACTTCAGGTACCTCACTTCTTATTTCTTTGTTTATGGTTGTGGATGCTGTGTTTATCTTTTGGGTTTTCCAAACGATTTAACGAAGAGTCTCATTTGTACTAGCAGCAGAGAACAGGATTACTCTCTACTACTTACTGATGGTCTTCCCCCAGCAGACTTTCAATTCCCTTGTTCTGTGCACGCCTTTTTATGAATAACTGAGGGAATTTTACTTTTTTTACTCCATATTTGCCTTAAATCTACGGAAGACACTTACCAATTGTGAACCATTTGGCATTTCCCCCTACAAGAGAAGAAAAGAGCATTATCTAGCTTATCAGACAATAGGGAGATTCTTTCAACCTGTTAYAAACATACGTACGTTTTCTGTGCTTATCTTTGCTACTCCTAGAGATGATGGCTGAGAGCCTTGTAAAGACTGCAGAAAGAGAGACATTTAGGTGTCATTCCTAACATCATATAACTTCAACATAAAGTTGGTTTAGAACAATGCAAGGGTCATCATGCTTTGAATGGTGAACTGTTGAGATGGAAATCTAGGGCTACATTAATGAAAATGATAGCCAAACCCCTACAAACCACAGAAAAGTTCTGAAGATAAGTGCTGAAGCAAAATCAAGATTTCTGAAGATCACCTCATTACAGTTTGAATCTTTACTTAAACGGTCAGAGCATTGTAAAGCCCTCAGCATTTGAGGGTACCCACAGAGTATTCCTCACTGGGGGAGAATTACCAGTATGGCACACAGGGGGTTCTCAGGACTCTAAGCAGCCCCCTACATTCTTGTTCTTTCCTGTGGTAAGGACAGATGAGCAACATGGCCATGAAGAGACACAGTTCTAGCCCAGCCCTAGCAGGTTGTGTCTTCAGCTTGTTTATTTCAACATAAACATTCAACTTCCTCCTCAGAAAAGTGTATAAGAAACAAAGACTAAAAGAATCACCTTTCTCCTTTTGTTTCTTCCACAAAGGGTACAGCATCAGCAGCCACAGACTAAACCAAGGGTACCTTTTGTGCTTGAGACAGAAACCAACCTACTGCACTTGCTTGCCCTCAAGCTCTTCTCTGAGTCAGTCCTCCAAGATCAGGACACAGACAACTTTTGCAGGAGTATTATTTTGGCAAGATGCCCAAGGCCAACTGATGGGACCCATTAAAGTCTGTTAAGGTGCTGCAAATGATCTTTAAACATAGCAGACCTATGTTTAAAGCTTAGACTTCATTATGTTCAGCTTCACCTCCTACCAAAACAATTATTAGTCTGCTGACATGAGTTAGACCTGATATTTGTCAGCAACAGGCCCAAGCTTTGCCCACAATGTAGTGAAGGTGGAGCAGAAGAGACCCAGAATATTATACAGGAGTATGTAGGCTACCTTAGTGAATGGCAGRAAAGGGAAAAGGCATTCACCTTCTGTATCTCCCTGGTATTTATCACCTTCAGTTTCTGTTCTAAAAGTGTAACTCTTCCAGAACAGAAGGATCTCTCCTTCTGCACAGAAGGATCTCTCCTTCCCTATTGGCTTACTTTCACTAGCAGAGCTGGCAGCTGAGAGGAAGCACAGCACAGGTTTACTTTGAATTCACTGTAGTTTGGTCCATATACAAGTCAAGCTATAAAGTCTGAGAAAGAATACTTCTTCTCATCCCCCATAAATATACATTTCTGATTTCATTCAACAAATCAGTCAGTTTAGCAGGAAAAACAGGGCTATGTGCACAAGGACTTCCAGCTGCGGTCGACCTTGGCATTTCAAAGCCAAGTAACAAGTTACAGCCATGGCTAAACCTGTCACTTAGAAGTGCTGAATACTCAAGAGTTCATTCTGAAGYCCCTGCAATATCTGAGGAGTCTAATCTACTCCTAGATTAAGTATCTAATCAATTCTTATACCATCTGTCCTATTAACTTTGTAAGCTGTAAACTTTGTCACTTTCTTGCCCCTAACTGCAAGACTGAAACAGGAAGACAGAAATCCTCATGAGACTCACATGSTGAAATGTGGAGAAACAAAAATCTTGTTACTAACATTAGACTGTATAGCTCATTCCCTTTACTTCCTTTTCACCATGAATCCTACTATGCAGTTTAGCAGGACAGATAAAAGGAATCCAACAAGGCATTTATCTATACAACTTACCTTTGAAACAAACTCTATGGTYTTGATCTGCACTTTGCCATATATTCCAAGGGTATCTACTTTTTCAAGGCTAATTCTGTGGTTGTAGAGCAGCAAGTGCTTTTTGTTTACAGTCACCTAGAGAGACAGGAAACAAAACAGAAAAACTATTAAACATACATTATACCAGCCACACATCAAATTGTAGGCACACATCTCTGTTTTACACTGGTTTGGTACAGAAGCAGTGACTGTCCTAGAAATACGAGATCAACTAAGTTCAGCTCATCCATTATTCAGTCTCTCTTTCCATCACTATGAGAGAGATTTATATGCCTACACTGAAATTTGCATTTCACACCTTTGTTTCTAGCAGCTGATCATTTACCAATGTGGTATTACCAATAAAATCTACTATTGCAGTCCAATAGAGCAAGGCAMATACACCTCACATGTCCCCTCCAAGAGGACTGTCCTACACCAGGCACAGAACAGGTTTATTCTATGAATAGCCCTGATTATTGCACATAAGAAGGGAAGTGTGGAGAAGCCATTAGCCATGGCAGGAAGTTATTTGCTACTCACCCAACTTAGAAAGAAGCAATACAAAATTAAAGGTCTGATTTAATTAGCACCTCTTTAAAAAAGCTCTAAACTTTTCTGCAGTGAGGCTATACTACAGAACACTTCCATATACAGTAAATGTTCTGTATATAATAATATACATATAAAATGATGTAAATATATATATATAAATAATAATATTATGTATATAATAATATATATAATAATATAATACAGTAACAGAGACACCTAGACTTCCAGTATTTCCTTTAATTATACAAAATGCCTCTCTTTTATCGTCCTGACAAYAGCTGCAGATGAGGAATTGACCCAGACTCACCTGAAATTTATCCTTTAAAATCATSATGACAATCTCGAATGACTTTCCTTTTTCAAAGGGCATCTCATAAGTGATCTCCTCCCAGCCCCACTTTTCCCTCTCCAGTGTATTGCAAACAATGCACCCAGACCTTTTGAAGCGGGGGTTGAAATGGAATGCCACATCAGCTCGAGGCTTTATGCTGCTGCCACACTGTAAATCCACCTGGAACCTAATCATAAAAATGAGACAAACCACATTCAGCTCAGCMTCTCAAGAAATCACCTAAAAGTTTAGTACAGTTGCATTTTTCTGTGGAGCCTCGGAACAGGAAGACAAAATGAATGCCACTGGATAAGAAAAAAAAAACCCAAACACATATTTGTCAAGACTCCTGCATATTTGTGAAAGGTCTCCCATAATTTATTGCAGYGAATATAAATGTTTAAGTATTATTTAATGGTTATCATTCATATCACATAAACTCCTTATTGCATTCACCACCTTCCCTCCCAYCATCTTCAGCAGAATATATCAAATGAGTCTTGGATAAGGACAGGGAACAGAACCCTCTTACTGGGCACAAGCACTACCTCCTTATCCCAGTTTAAGTTAATTCCTACACACAACACATTCGGTTACCAATTTTGTTAGTCTGAGATGACCCTYTAAGCCTGCATTTAGTCTGATGCTATCGCAAGGGTTTAGATCAAGCCTTTCTGTGCCATCCTAAGTAGAATCACTGGAAACATTTTATCCATTACATTCATTACATTGCATCCATTACATGACACCACAGCCACTACCTGTCAGCATCGTCAGGAACAGTCCCATGTATCACAATCAGCTCTCCAGGAACAAGGCCACCATGTATTGTCCCAACATATGGAATGATCTAGAAGAGGGAAGAACAAAAAAATACAAACAAAAAGATGTTCCAATAACATTTTGCAATGGAGGCAAAAACGCCCACCATAGTTCAAAAATCAGTGTTCTAATACTTAATTATATGTTGCTCTAGAAGATTAAAAGAAACACAACTAGCTTTTCATTTAAAAGAAATCACAACAGGAAAGGAAAACTTGGCATATTCTCCCCTATGAAAACCAAGCTTTTCAGATAAAACTGAAACTAAAATATCCATCCTCGACCCCTAGCTCTCAAATGAAGAGTCGTAATATTTTATTGCCTCACTATCCATAGAGCGAAAAGAGGATTCTTAATTTAAAATTAGGTCATTCCCAAGGGCTGACTATTATCAGCCCTTTGCTGGTACTAGGAGGCAACTTCCACAGCCCTCCTGACCTCASACTACAGGAGCTGCCTTTTTGCTTGTTCTTGCTCCATTATGGAAAAYAGTAATAGGAAGAGGCTATCACAGAGTGTCTTCTCAGTAAAGCCCAAACAAGCACAACAAAATACCTCATCCTAATGAGTTAAGAACTGCCAAGTGCACTGAAATAGCCCTGCTCAGAAGTCTTGGATTTCATGGTGTCTACTCTCTTAAGTAGTCTGGCTCAAGCCTCACTATCTTTACTTCTGTATCAAYAGATAGAGCAGATAACACATGGATGTTATGCTGAACTGAAATGGCAGCATGACAAGAGTTGTTAAGCTACAGGAAGGGATATGCCAGTGAAGATAAAAGCCCCAAATACCGCAGCACAGCGCACTGGCAAAGGCTCAGACACACCAACAGAAGCCGTAACTCTGATCATCAGCTGGCACACCCAGTGTTTCACAAAAAGAATGAAAGCATCTTAACATTAAACTGGAGAAGCTCCCAGAAGCCTGATCTAAAGTAGAGCTTTAAATCTGCATCTCATCACATTTGCTTCAGATTGAAAAAGAAAATTAATAGCAGAAAATGTTGCATTTGCTCTGGTTAACAGATAATTTTTTTCCAAGGTTGGTTTTGGTAGTTTGTAAGATTTTAGGATACCTTTGAAATGAAACACCAATTGCAAACATGAGTTCCAATAATTTAGCAACAAAAATAATGAACATCTTCATTGCATTGTCTGGAGGCTGCCCTGAGATCAACAGCACAATCTTTTCCAACTCTGCCTCCATATTCCAGTCCCAAATACTCATTCTTCTTCCCACAATTTTCCAAAATTTTGACCCCTAATGTCTAGTTGAATTCTCCTGCCAAGCATTCTCACCCATCATATTCATCAGTCCCCTTGCAGCCACTCAATTTTGCTAGATTCTTAGTCTCTCTCTTACACTACTCATTCATCCCAAATATCTCCCAATCCTTCCCTTCACATCTCCTCTCCCACCAAGGTCTCCAGCTACCAACTCTCAACCTCCCTTTCCTTCTGCAATTCAGTCCTTCCACTTCATTGTTAATTATACAGCTTTTCTTTCTCTTTCAGCTGGGTTCATGTGAAGGAGGTTGAAACTATTTCCCTGTCATCCCTCTATCCAAGTAGACTCTATCCACTTTGTAAACTGTGCCCATATAGTGGGTATAAACAACCGGATTCACTGAGGGCCCAGAAGTGTGACAAGACAAAGCTGCAATAGGTAAGGAAGTCCTGTGCTGGTCTGTGTCACTGTACACTCCACATAAATACTTTACAGACTTTAGTATTTTTAAAAGGGTCAAGCACAGAATGGTAAAAATACAATTTCCTACAGATTCAAAGAAAAACTACCTTTTTAAAGACACAACAAAAAAAAAAACGTTTCAGGTTACTCCTTTAGGGTAAGCCAAAGTCAGGCGGCTGTCACAGATCATGAGAATGCTAGAACTTTTCAGAGAAAGTCTCCAGATTCTGAGCTAGGCAAGCAACATTCTGTCAAATCCAGCCTTTGCAATTGCTGAATCATGTCAGTTCAAGTCTTCCCTACAAAACAGGATTTATTAGAAATTAAGACATGAACTATGAGAAAATATTCCAAGTTTAGTTGTTCAGACTGAAGTTACAGGCACYACAAAATAAACATTTCATGAGAGCTGCCAGGTACCACCCATGTTTACGGAGAATTAGAAGTGAAAGCACTTCTTATCGTATTTTCACTTTACAGCACATTCTRCAAAAATGCCAGACATCTACATAAGCTGTACATGAGAAAGGATTATCCTCCAASGCTGACAGAATGTCTGTCCTGGTTTGGAAGTCCTGCTGTTTGTTTACAGCAGAATTTCTAAACACCATCAGTTCCTATTGCCACCTGTGACGCCTTCCCTCGGATACCTGAGTGACGCAGAGCTCTCAGTAGCATCCCTCACTATGCTAAACAGGACCAGTACTGTTGACAYAAAACAGCAAAGTTCCATTCCCCAAGGGGCACATTGTTAACATGACAGAGGAGGTACCGGGTTACTGATTGTCTTCTGCGGTGCATCCAAGGTCAGTTTACACATTTCCTTCTGTGGTGTATCCAAGGCCAATTTATGCATTTCCTTCTGTGGTACATCCAAGGATGTCATCTTYCCTCCTGCACTTGAAGTTTGTCAGTTCTGAGTGACCGCTGCTAGAGTGTATTTAAAGAAGTCACTGATCAGGCAACACCAAAGKAAGGATCCCTTTGAAAAAAAACAAAACGTTCAAGTAGAGAGAAACAAAGTGACACAACATGAAATGAAACCCTCCAAGGTACAATTATAAATAGCACAAGAAATGATGCAAACATCTTTCCAGTAAGTCCACTTGAGTTTTGAAATRTGAAATTAAAACTTAAAGCACTAAGATGCCACACTGGTAAACAATGTCATCAGCAGCCTGCTATCCCCARATTTCCCATGGCAGACAAGCCTTAGCGGGTGACCTTGCCTTTTCCACCTTTATCACATATAAAGTTCAGAGGCACTAGACAAAGACTAAGAAGAGAGGGTGTTTTATATTTCTTCCTCCAAAATATACAATCCCTGAACTCCACAAGAAATTACAGGAGTTTGTAAAACTTGAATTAAATGCACAACATAAATAAGAAATAACACTTGTGAGTTCATTCAGCTACATTGAAATTTCTTTAGCAAGTCTTTCAACAAAGTGATCAAAATTCAGGGCCCAGCCGAAACTACAACTACTAAGTAATTCTTCTGTCCACATTCTTCTGGAGAAACAAGGTAGCATGTAATCTGCGTGGTGATGGCAAGCAGACGGAAAAAGTCAAAGGTGAGGGCTCTTAGTCCCATTAGTGTGTGACAAGAGCAAGCAATATTAGAAAGAAACAAAACAAAACAAAAACAAAAACAAACTAAACAAACAAACAAAAAATGTTCCAGAACAACACCAAACCAAAACCCCAGGGTCTGTGGCCTGTTTCACAGGGGTTCATCTTCTGCAATGATTAAACAACAGAGTGGTCTATTTCACAACTATCTGGCTTATCTTGTTGGAGATTCTGACCAGATGGGTATTAACTCACCTATTTAAAACCAGCATCTAGAATACAACACAGACAAGATAAGGTGCCAACACCACATAACTATTTTGCCCCTTTGATCCTTTCACGGGATACTACCATTAATACACTTTTGCTTGTGCAGGCAAATTTCATTGATTTCATTTTTAAAAAGAAAAAATCAAGACCAAAGCAAACAATAATTTACAAAAATAAATTTGAAACGTTCAACAGCAGGCCCCATGAAAATGAAACCTACAACCCACCAGCCTGCTCTCTGAACTTCCCTGTGTGTGCAACAGCCATCTAGATCCTGCTAGGAAAGGATCCTGGCACAGGAMTGACTTATCAGTCTTGGCAGAGCAGGTGCACTATGACAAAGTGATGAGTTAAGGGTTTTCTTGTTTGCCTATTCGTATTTTRTTAACAAGGTCACAATAATAAAGGAAAGCTGCAATTGAGGCTTTGTTCAAAAGCAGGACATACGACTGCAAGGCTCTCCTGAGCCCTTCTGTCAGAGGAACCACTACAAGTATGTGTTACACCAAATCTGCAACACGGCAAGTTAAGGCGCTCTGACAGTGCTTTGAGAACTGAGATAAATCGGCTTCCCTGTTATCTCACACATTGCAAGGGGCTGGATATCTCTTCCACAGACAAACAGGAAACCATAGAGGCCAATAAGCAGCTATGAGGTTTCCCACTGTGTTTGTCTGTGACACAGAGAAAATGTGTCCTTCACGAGTTACCTTCAYGAAGGTAACTCCGGCCAGTCCTTACAATCAAAGCGAGATTTTACACCAATGCAAACAAAGCTCCTGCAAAAAGAACTACCGAGATGCTTTCTGGATATCTGCAAGCAATTACAGTACAAAACACCGGCGGTGTACCCCCGTCCCCGGCTACAAACCAAACACATCCGAACACTGCAGGGCCACAGAACCACGTTCACCAAGCAACCTCGGCCACTTCAGCCTTACCGCGAACCGAGGCAGCTCCGGCTCCTCTGAGCCCCGCCGGGGGCAGCCCCTCTCCCCGACACGCATAGGGTCAGGAAGGGGGTGTGTCCCTGCATTCCCCGCTCCCTCTCTTACCCGCAGGATGCACCTTGGCGATCAGCAGTGCCCGCACACAAGCGGGACGCGCCCGCCCGGCGCCGCCATCGCCGCCCGCCCCGGCCCCTCACAGCGGCTTCCGGCCCGCGGTGACGTCACGGCCCCGCCCGCGCAGGCGCCTCCCCCTGTGGGCGGTGCTGGACGGAGCCGGGCGGGCCCGGRGTGCTCTGGGGCCTGCGCTTACCTTGGAGACTTCATTTGGCTCCTTCCCCTGYGGGCACTTCGCTTCCTCTGTGCGTTGTGCTCCCTCTGAAGATCCCTTGCTACAGCCTGTCCCCATTTCCTGACAAGACGCAGCTCACAATCGTTAGGTCCTTTCCAACCCTTTGGTGATCAAGTCCAGCCTCTCTGCCAAGACAGGGTCACCTCCAGCAGAAAGCGTCCGTGTGGGGTTTGAATGTCTACAGACCCACGACCTCCTGGGCAGCCTGTTCCAGTGCTATGCCAGCCTCAAAGAAATTCTTCCTCATGTGTATGTGGAACTTGTGTTTTAGTTCAACTTAGGCCACTGCTCATTGTCCTGTTGCTGGGCACCACTGAAAAGAGTCTGGTATCAACCTCTCGAAGCCAACCTTTGAAATGAGTCTGGCACCATGCTCTCGAAACCCACCTTCGAGATTTTATATGCATTAATGAGATCCTCTCTCAGCCTTGCCTTCTCTAGACTAAATGCGCCCAGCTCCTGCAGTCTCTCCTCAAACRAGATGCTCCAGACCCCAAATCATCTTTGTGGCCTCTGCTGGACCCTCTCTAGGAATTCCTTGTCTCTCATGTCCTGAGGAACTCACAACTGGACATAACACTCCAGARGTGGCCTCACTAGAGTGGAGCAGAGGGGCAGAATCACCTYCCTTAGCCTGCTGGCCACATTCCTCCCAGTGCATCCCAGGATACCACTGGCCCTCTTGGCTGCAAGGGCACTGCCGGCTCATGGTCAGCTTGTAACCCACCAAGATTCCCAGGTCCTCTCTGCCAAGCTGCTGTCCAGCAGGTTGGCCCCTGCCTGTGCTGGTACTTGAGATCATTCCTCCTCAGGTGCAGGATTCTGTACTTGCTCTTGCTGAACCTCTTTAGGTTTCTCTCTGCCTAATTCTCCAGGCTCTCCAGTGACCCACGATGACCATGCTCATTTCCATGACCAGACCCAAACACAGTTTCAAAGCTCACACTGGATCATTTGCTGCCGCAGGACCTTTGTGTTTCTGAAACCTGGAAATCTTACACCCAACCCAATCTTAAAACCACTGCCCCAAGGCTATGCTTCCATCCTTCTCTTCCCTCACAGGCTGCACTAAGAGTGATTTTGGCAGTTTTGGAGTAATAAGCAGCTAGGCCAACTGAGTCCCTTTCAGTTTTACATTTCAAGATGTATAGCAACAGTCTGCTCAGAGAAGCGCTACTTAAAGTTCCCCCTATTAATACGCTGGATGGGGAAAAGATGAGAACAAAAATAAAGAGTGCAATATCAAAAAAGGCTCACAAGCTTCAAACACCATATCTTATTCAATTAAAGGCATTCAGTATTTCTTTGCAAAAAGCAGTRTATGTGGCTATAGTGAAGTTAGAATGGCATTCAGCCACTTGTCACAAAAACCACTGCAGCATCTTAGCTAGATGATATCCAGTCTTCTATAATTGAGAAATACAAAAGCCCCACCTCAAATCATATCTGCTTGCTAGAGTTCTACTGATAGCTGTAGGATTGCTGCTTTAAAGGGTACATCAGCTTAGCTATCAGATTTGAATGATTCATTCACAGAAAGGTATGATGACACTTCTTTTGAGRAGAGCTGCAGAAATGAGCAGATTAATTCATTCTTTAATTCATATTAAAGAGAGGCAAAGCAGATTGCCTGGGGAAAGATACTTTAGAAACACTCATGGTTTTGAGAGCAGGTTGACAACTATTGTGTGTAGTCAGGTGCTAGCAAAAAGCCTGCTATTCAACTGTTCCATATAAAGCCACGGCACTACTTAAAAACAGAACAAATAAAAGGTSTTGAGCCTGAACTGCCAGTCAATATTTCTTTGAAGCTACTTTTCCAGGCATTCTAGCTCAAAGAGTATAACACTTTGATAAAACCAGAATGACAAAAGTACATTAAATACATTCAATTGTCAGTATTGGACTGCAATCTCAAAGCACAGGCTTGAAAGTTCAGGTCAAATAGCAGAAGAAAAGATGACAGAAAAGATGCTGAAAGATTGGAATAAAAAATAGAATGCTGAAAGGAGAAGCAGTAAGTGGGAGTGTTTTTAGAACCACAGAAAATAAAGTTTTACTACTTTACTACTTCTTGCTCAGGGCTCTTCTACTTTTGGTAAGAAACAAACCAWAAGGAAATACAGTGATTTGAATTATGCATCAGTTCTTTACTGAAGCAGAACAGCTGTTTGATTAAAATGATTTTAGGCTAAGTCATAGGCAGTTTATGAAATTTGCAGGAAAATCCCTACTTCAGCTCCCAAACCTGATGCAGCATTGACAGTGAGTCAGTGGGTTAGCTTCAGTAGCTTTGGGCTATGCTACTGTTGTGTTGTTCATAGATTGTCACTCTTCTGCTGATTTSTTGTGACTGCTGTTTTTTAGCACCATTTACCAGTAACAGTCCTGACAGCAATAACAAAGTCTTCCCTCATTTCCACAGTCCAAGTCCTAATTCAGGCTTTTTCTTTTAAAGCTACAATCTGATGTGCACGCAACCATTGCTGGACTATGTGTTATCCTGTCAGCTGAGATTTCCCATGTTGCAGCAGAATTTTCCTTGCTGGAAAAATAGAAATGCTTTGTCAAGGCASATGCAGCCAATTTCAGGTGAAGCAAATAAAGCAGCTATTCTTGGCCATAAGACAGTATTTGAGGAAGAACCCTGTTACTCCTAAGAAATTTGACCTGTCTTTCCTGCCCCRCTACAAGAATTGGTAGAGGAATATAATCATGAAACACCAGCAGTGCAGGAACTGCTACTGCACATCAGCTACTGCCATAGCCAACCACCACCTGGAGCACAGTTCCTATAGACTTCTTGCTTATTTTCAGTGATAATAAGTGATCTCCCAATCTTTAATATTCCCTTTTGGATGCAAAGAACTGTTTTGATTCATTTCATTGAAAACTGAAATATGATCTTTTACAGATTTAGTTTTCCATTCTGTTTCCCTTTCCATTTCRGAGAAGAGATAAACTTATGCCCTGATGCAGCAGTATCAGACCACAATCTGCTAAATAGGACAGACTGAAATGTCCAGCAACATTTTACACTGTTTAAAGSTGTTTGATCTATSTTATTGAGTSTAATTGTAACAATTWATTTAGTTTAGATCAATGTAGTGCTCAGAATGTTATCAACGCAACTGGATTTGATACAGCTTGCTTTAATCAYCTGCACAACTGTACCATGTTTCAGTGTAAGCTTCTAACAGCAACACAAGCCATGCCAATAACATGCTCATTCAAAAATATGGGGAAAGTGAACGAAATTGATGCCTAGRCAATTTTTAACTTCTTCCCACATACTTCCCACATAAGATGGCTTAACAAACACCACTTTATTGGATAAAAAACAAAGAGGATAACCACAGATTATTTTGAGTCCTTCCGTAATTTCTKGGTAAAGGAGCTGCTATGTTTGCTCCTTCTTCCTGCCATAAGCACCTCATCTCATATCTGCACTTCTCCAAAGCAGAGGCTGATGCCTTCCCTGCTGGGCAACAGGGTTGCATCCARCCTGCAGCAGTCAGTAGCATTACAAGCTGCTCTGTCCTTTGTGAGTTGCTCACCTCAGCAGTACTCTGGCTCTGCTAGCTGCCTTAGTTATCGGTTCCTGCTACCTCATCCCTCTCCCTTTTCAGCACAGTGCCATAAAGTACATGGCTACATGTTATCCTCCTTCCTCAGAAGAGACTTCTCAAGCAGACCTCCTGTCCTTGATGCCAAGCTTATAATCTGTACCTCCMAGGGTAGCAAACCATGGTCCAAAATCAAGGTGAAAACATACATAATCACACTTACTTGGCCTGGTATTTTATGCACAGTTCCAATTACAAGATTTCCACCAATAATGGAATTCCCTAGACTTGACACAAATAAACACTAGTCTCCATTAAGAAACCTGGCTATGGAAATTATTCTCAGCTAATTTTTTATAATGTTGTGTGCTACTAGAAAAACTGTAATTTTTCTCTAGTTAATACTGTGTACAGGCCACAGGGGTAAAGCCTCCAGCACACTGTCCTGTTCAGCAGACATTTTGTGCCTAAGGACTTCATACAATTTCAAAAGACTGAAATGGTTTTAGAGGAGCTGTTTGTGCATTRCATCATTTTCTGATGGAAAATATTCCCCTAGCTTTTTTTGAAAGGCTTTAGATTCAAAGAGGACATGAGTCACCACCTCTTGGTACACCAACATGAAAATTTCAGTCGACAGCCCAGCTGGCTCCGCTTTTACTTAGCTACAAGTATCAGTGGCCTTCCATAACTCTTCCTTGATATGTCACTATTTAACTCCAGTGATCATTCAGACCTTCCAGTTTTCAGTTTAAAGCTTATAAATCACAGGGAACAAAATAAAAAGTTGTGTTTTTTTAAATGGTCTTATGGATTCAAAAGCGTAAAATGCTGCTGCTACCTCAGGAACTCACAAGAATTCTAATTTTTTGTTGCAATGCCTGYTTGTTAAAGCAAAGAGAGGAGAAGCATAAGAGCAAACTACAGAAAAGATATTATGAGGGCCAAAAGACAAATGAGATACCAAGTCACTAGTCCTTTTGAAAATCAATTATAGGCCATATAACTCTTAAAATATAATCCCCCCTTCTTTTTTAAATGACAATCTAGGTTTCTAGAAGTAGCCAGGATAATTGCTTCATTTGCACTGCAATAGATACAAGACAAACCAGTGCTTGTTTTTGCCTTGCGGCACGCCCCAGGTGATTGTGCCAGGATCTGCACTTARGGATTCAGTCCCTGCCTACCTAGGTAGATAAAAACCAGGAAACATCAAACCTCTGTGCAAAAGAAAAAGCTGTATGTTCTCCAAACTACAAACTGTCACCAAACCCAAGATCTCTAGAACTCCCCTTCACACCTTCATCATCMTCACTGCAGTTGCCCTTGGATCTCTCTGGTGGGTCTCTGCAGTTACAGRTAATTCACCTGCTCTCAGTTCTGCATTTTCAAGGGAGAAGAGCGAGGGCTGTAGTATCACCTCTCACCACGAGATGGTAGTTGTTTCCTGATGGTCAGAGAAAGCAGAGGCAAAAGTAAATTAGGACAAAAAAAAACCTGTTCATGGGATTGTGAATGAACTGAAGTAAGGGAAGCTCACATACRTCGAGTGCAAAGACAAAAATAAATTCTCACCTTAAACTCCAGATACTTTTATTACTGTAAGGATTTGGRCACCCCTTACTTATCCTGGCTCTTTYGGTTAAGGAATTTTTAACTGTGYCCATTTATTTTATGTCATCAGCAACATAAAACTAGTTATTTTTGGAGGCAAAATACATTCCCAAAGTAAATATTGGGTAATTTTGAAGCAAACTCATTACAATTTTTTTTAAAAGCACTTTCATGTGAATATGTTGTGTATCTATCTCAAGCTGTACAGAGATACACAGAACACATTTATTATCCAAGTTACTAACACACTTGGTCTTTTTTCTGGAATTCATCAAAAAAAGTTGAAAGATGTAGTTAAGATTTCAGGCGAGAACTACTTCTGTACATATATATCAGAAAGAAGAGTAAGTTAACACCATAGAGATTATTTCTCACCAATTATTTCCAACAGAAGCTACTTCTTTTTCATCTCTTCTATAATTTTAATCCTCACCTTCATAACTCTGTGCAGGCCAGTAAACAAAGCCTGAAAAAATCCAACATACCAACTCCACTTTTGGTGGAGTTCAGAAAGGCCAAAACCTTGCTGATCCCATCCTAACAAGACTTGCACTGCTCTATCTTTCTCATTTAAGAATCTCAGGCAACTCTCATTACCACAATAACAAATATACATTTCCTCAAATGACCTGCCTTTGAAACCAAGAATGACTGTTGTACAAAAGTAAAATACAGAGATCAAACAAACTAGTAAGTATGCCCAACTGTTAGTACCCTAACAGAGGGTACAGCAAGCCTTTCCCAAGGCTGTCAACTTCTCTTTGCCATCAATTTCTTGTAAGATGTAATCAGTCCCAGTCCTTGGCTAAAATACAGGCAAGCACTACAGACTGTACCTCTCCAAGTGAATTCTTGCACTTTTCTGTCAAAACAGGCAGAAAGCRCAAGTCCTCATTTAATGGTGTTCTGCCCTTCTGTCCAAAACTGAGCCAAAATTTAAAATTTACAAGATATATTGGAAGTAGTTATGAATAACTAACTGCTTTTCCTTCATCAACAGAAGAACACGATCTGCTGCAAAAATTAGACAAGTAGGTTGCTCTTTCAGTTACAAATGCCATGCWCTTTCTTTGACCTTGTTTAAACAATTCTGCTGCCTGACAAATAATTTCCAGGTATGTCTGGCCACAAGATAATGGTGTTACCCTAGCTTAAAAATAAGGCAGAATTTACATTTCTTTCCTCTTGGTAACAGCTTGACTTGGAACTGTGGGAGGCCTTTTGAGACARTGAAAAATAATCAGTCTCCTGCACAAAGCACTGCCCAGGCCAAGTTGCAGCTCTCCAATTTTCAAAAGTGGTCCAGGAAGAAGCCTGGTTTACAGTTTTACAAGTTATTTGGAATCAAGCATCTGGGATCATGCTGACTACCCCTATCCTTTATGGCTGGTTGCAAAGGACATTCCCAAACCCACCCTGCATTCCTCTCCACAGATCCAATGGAAATGCATGCAGAGGGCAAGGAAACTGGAGCCTGTCACCTTTTGCTGGGGATACCCCATAGCTGTTCTCACAGGAAAACTAGGTTCTCCTGGAGCACAGCACCGTAACTTTTCCATTGAAGAATGGTTATTAAGCTCATTGTATCTTAGATAAGGTTGCAGCAATGAAATAATGCAGTGATATGGGCAGCTTCATAGAAGCTAAAATGGGTGGCAAAGGCCAGTGATCATCCTGCAGGCACAGAGATGGMAGGCAAAAAAATGGAAATCCCTGAAGGGAGAGCAGGTCTTACACAGGCATAGGAGAAAGATATAATGGAACAAAATTGATAGCCTAGTAAAGTCTTTTTAGTGTCCAGTATCAGATTGCTTATTAGTTCAGGAAAAGTTCAACCTGTATAGGTTTCATACCTCTCTTAATCAGTAACTCAGCTGCAAGTTTCTAGATAAACATCTTTGTTCATCRTCTTATCAAAATTAACTAATTTTTCATATGGAAAAGATTAAAAAGAAGTATTTTCATTTCTTGAACAGCAGTATCTGTTGCAAATGTAAGTGCTTTACGGCACCTTGAATTTAATATATGAGGTATTTTTACACAGCACAACTAATTGATAGTTTAGTAATTCCAAGGTGGCTGGTGAGAAGGAAAACATCTGTTTTCCTAGCTGTAATAAAAACAAATACAATAAAGTCAAACATTGACAATCTATATTTTTTCTAGAAATAGTATACATTATAACAGAGGACAAAAGAATAAATTGACACTCAGAATCAATATCTCACAAATAGATATAAAACTAAAAAAAGATTGCGTACATCTCCATTGATGCCATACAAAGAGAAAAAAAAAAGTATTTCAAGTATAGTAATCCAGTGTATGGTGAAGTTTAAGGCTAACATTTTCAACCTTCAGAGCTGAATTTATACAGAACCCACCTAGGAACTCTCAGCAGCAGCTTTATTTCCATCAGATATGATCTCTTGCAGCTGACACTGACTTTTCAAGAGCTTCAAGGGATCAAACTCATTTTCACAAGACAGAAGTTTTTTCAAAATGTTACAAGTTTTGGCCAGAAATCAGGAAGAGGGATAGGTTTCACYGGAACATGTTGGTTCAGGAATGCTACTGCATCATTTCATATTCCCATTCTGTTTCTTAGGTGAGGGTTCCAGCTCCTAGCTGGACTGGCTCTACCAAAGCAGAGCATTTTATAATACCACACAGATATACTTGTGGTATGTTATGGGAAGGAAAAGCTGCGGGCATACATGTCAGCACTCGTCACTCAGAACAACTTAACACGCAGATGTATGATCCTAAATCATGCATGCAGTCAGCCCAAGGCATGGGAATYATGTTGGACAAGCTGCATTATGAGCTATTTGCAGGTAGGCAGTGGATGGCTCTGTAGAACTGAAAATAGCAGGCAGCCCAGGAACAGCAGTAGTCCCCAAAGCTGAACCTAGTGCATCTAACTGAAGACAGAAGATTATTTGCAAAAGTTACAAGTTGACAGACATCTATAGGGAAACTGCAGYTCCTAGAAGAGCACCACGAAACACTTGAACGGCAGCCCCAACAAGACAGAGTAGTAAAATCGCCTCCTTAAAATATAGCTAGAGAACTAGAGTTCTAAAGAGTAGCAGCTTTTTTTTTTGAGGAATGGTTAAAAGGATTTATTACAAATTCCAGTCTCTTCTAAAAAAATTAAATCTAAAAAATTAAAATTTCAAACCTCAAATGTAGGTCAATTTCTGCACATTGAAACGAGACTTTCAGTTTCYTGAAATCACTACAAAAATAGTTAATTTTGTCAGCCCAGAACAAGTGCCTGACAYTGAAAATGTTAGTCTTTACTGCGAGCTCCTCTGTGACCATATCACTCAGTATCTATAGTAAAGTAACACTAGAGGTCCCTTTTCAATCTCTTACAKTAAGAAACTCAGTATAGAGCACTAGACTTACCTCAGCTTTACTAATAATTCTTATTTCTACTCAAGAAAAGTAAAGTGTATCAACCTGCACCCCATTCTACTTTTGCCCCACATCTTGACCAGTGCTTTGGTATATACATCTATGTACATACTAGTCTCACATGTCAGAAGAATGGTAGGAGAAAGGCCAATTTCTGAAATACTTAAAATGTAAACAGTGTAATTCAGAGTATCAAAATACTTTAAAAAAACACCAGTCTAAACCACTGTAAGTGCCTTAATAACCATCCACCTGGACTGTAGGTGAATTCAGCTGTTAACTTTCCATTAGAGTGGCTTTAATTAATRTATAGTGCTAATTTCACACAAGTGTGCAACTACCTCTGTGTGAGACAGAAAGTAGGCCATCCCACAAGCCAGTAAAGAAAACTTGTGAAAAGGGAAGTTACAGTCAATACTAAGGATACCCCGTGGTGCTGTCATGATGCACTGCAAAATGGGAGGCATTTGATTCATGCACTCAGAGTGAACACCATCTTTAAACCTTTGGAAAGTAATTTTAAACATAAAGCCTTTTAATTGGTTCTTCTGGCATCTACAGGTTATGAGTTTAAAAATCTCTCTAAATTGCATGATTTCTTCTTAGGGTAAATATATGCCCTATGATGTCATACCATRTGAGTAATTATTTTGTTTAACATCTGTTATAGTTTAATGTCTAATGTTGTTCATAAAAGAGACTTAATTWGCTTAAATGTGATGTTGAACATTCAGTTAGTTGTAACATGCAGATCCAAATTGCTGCCTGAGGTGTTTCTCTGCCAAAGACAGTGTCATAAAGCTTAAAAAACAACTAAAAAGGAAGAAAAATAGTACACCTCACCTTGTACTAGGTAGAACATACAAAATTGTGGAAGGGCTGCAAGTAAGGCCAAGAGACTTGCCTTCTAATTGTGACTTTCCCAATGGCAACAGCACACAACTGATATGGTTCACAATTGCTGCAGTTAAAACAAGTAGTCTGGCCTTTTCATTCCTCTTCTGTTTAGGAAGGCTCTGAAGAGCAGCAAAAAAACTGAAGTTATTTGCCAACTCAAGAACACAACCTGAATGATTTGATCCACTTTTGGAAGGTTATCTTTGCAACCCTGAGGACACAAAGCATACATTTGTGTATACAGTAGATAAAGCCTAAGCTTACACAGTATACAAACCCTCAGTACAGGCTTTCTCTCTCTTGCAAGGGAAACTTCCAGTGTATTAGTGGTAGCTAGTCCCAGCATTTAACATATACAGACTAACAACTTTCTTTGACCTAGAAGTCATTCTGGTAAGTTCTGTTCCCTCTCTTCGGCCATTCTTCCTCCACCCATTTCAGCAGCACTTTCACAACATCAATTCTCTTATAAAATTTACAGAGATCAATCAGCTGCTCCACAGTCCGGTCACTATTCCGCAGCAAGAACTCCAAGGTGGGACTCTGGGGTTTTTGTTCAAGGAAACACAATTCATCATAAGTCATCCCCCACTTGCTTGCTAAATTTCTCCAGTTTTTCACTGTTGGGTGGCAGGGATCCAGYTTTAGCCTCACTGTGTACAACAAGTCCTCATCATTGAGCATGTCACTGATGGTCGGTGCACGGAATAAGCACAAGGAGCATGTGACATTTTCCTTGCAGGTTTTCTTGAGATCTGCAGTGAAAACCATTACACAGGAAGAAATTAGAATATATTGTGATTTCACCAGGAACAAGAAGTCAAAGGTGCAAAGGGTTGAGGAGCATTTTATTGCCGTGAATTTCCTCTGAAAAWGTCAGAAAAGCAACATGCAATGCCTTTCCTTATGAAGAAGTCAGAAAATTAACTTTCTAAAACTTCTCTCTTCACTACATTCAGAGGCTTTAATCCAAAGGACAGTAATTTTGAAAGTACTACATTTATACTTTTATAGAAAAGACATAGGATTCAATGTGTGAGCTAGGATAGTTCCCTTTTTTGTTTTTTGGAACAATGTAGCTTCCTTGAATCTGCCATAACCGTGCATTCCGTGCATCTTGTATACCTGTGTCGTAGAATAAAGGAAAAGGTTTTGTGCTTCTGACCTGCTGACTTCATAACACATACAATACCTGTACCTGCAGAGAAGAATCTCTGTTGACAGCTCCAGACAGAACTAACATCTAGTATTTTCACATAATGAAAAAGTAGAAATGTTCCTTTGTAAGGGCTCTAACAATAATAACTGTCCCTGTTCTAACAACAAAGCCTATTTTAAATGTACATCATGAAAAGGAATAAAGTACATACTCCTCCATCTGTGAGAAAAATAAAAATAACAAATTACTGGAAAGAGGTAGTGATATATTCTAAAATCTGCATCAAATACTGAAAATTGCCATTTAGAAATGTCCTACACACCATAGTCAGTATGTCCCCAAAACTGAGAACAATGTGGTTCTATCAGACTATAGTATATTAATAACCCATAAAAGCATGTACAAACCAGTTCTAGTCATACCTCTAGTCAAACTCTAATACCAAGATCTCCAACACTGCAGCAGTGTAGGACATGGTCTGAGTATTTTGGCTGCAGATACGACCCTATCTCTACCCACTCCTTTTTGAAAGCAGGGAGAATCTGGTATGTCCAAATAGTAGATAATGGACACAGCCTAGAAGCATTTTCTAAGGTTTCTGGGCTCCAGCCTCATTGTACAGCTTAAAACAGGGGAGTAACTAGTCCTACTGGAAGTGAAACTCTGAAAAAGGGGCTGATAATAATGAAAAGATTGATTAAAAACAACTGAAAACAGTGACACAYTTTGCAAGCACTAGATCAGAGGCCTGAATAGTATCCCTGGCAAGGGACAAATATGGAACTTAGTGCTATCTACTCATGAGGACAACAGTACCCATTAAGGCTGTTTGTCTGTGGGTTTTTGTGGCTCTTTTTTTTWAAATAAATTTATTTTCAGTAATTATTGCCAGATTGTGTGAAAATTCCATAATATAGTATCGGCATTTGTATTTTGTTTCTGAAGAAAGAACAGGTTATTGTTATTTTTGTAATATTGCTCATCAGATCTCTTTTTTTAGCAGGCCAAGGACAACTTCTGAAGTTTTCAACAAGTTAGGACATGCAGCAACAAGATTGTTGCACACACATAACTTCATACAAATACTCAGATTCCCTGTTAAAGGGAAATATGTTCTGGTGACATCTTTGATCACAGGTATTCCACAGGCCTTGCAGCTGTTCTAATGAATGTTCTAAAGGAGCAGGTATGTTAACACTTCTGTTCTTGYGCACATTAAACTCTTGCTGAAGTGAGACAAAACTTCCTTGTTTCATTCATACCAMCATTTTCTTATACAAACAAGGCAAAGTGAATATAATCCAATAAAATTTTTGGCTGACCCTAGAGGACAGGACAGCACTCTATCTGAATGCCCTCTTATTTACTCTGGCAGGGATGGCAGAGTAAGTTTTATCCTCCAACAGAAACAGGGAAGAAGAGGTAAAGAACACACTCTGTAAAAGGGCACAGATGAAAGTAAACAAAACTAAACCAAYCTGCTTCTTGTGCTATACCATCAGCAAGGCTATCAAAAGCATCATAAAGAATTCTGGTTTTCTAAGAAGCCCCTGTGTTAGACACTGACAAGCAAMTGATGACCTACCCAACTACTTGCATGATCCTAATGCTATGCGACAATGCTACATGACAAAGCTAGGACAACCTTCTTTACTAATAGGAAACTCTYAGTTTCTTACTGTTAGACTAAGAGAATTGTATATCATACACACATACCCTCCTCCCCAGCAGAACTTACACAATTTTGGGATAAGTCCTCAGAGCCTTCTGCCAGCTTCTGCTCTCTCCTAACAGCTCTTTACATATCACTTCTAAAGGCAGATGTACTAAATGTATTTGGAAAGCCCAACTTACAAATTTTGTCTTGTCTGCATTATTGATTGCCATCCTCTTAGAAAAAAAGGGGAAGGTGTAAATGACACTGGTAATGAAATGAGCTCCATACGCACTAATTACCCAGGCAGTTATTTGTTATGACAAATAGCAGTTTTTTAAAAACCCCTTACAAATAAAACCTAGGAATAAAATACRTAGAACAATAAAGCTGACATATTACCTGAAAGTGATTTGTCAGTATGGTTTTGTGTGTCTGTGTCTTCTGGCTATAAAGCAGAAAACAAATATAAAGTCAAAATAAAACAATGTAATTGAACACCAGAATAAAGTATTTGACTAATTTACAACTGGCAGGAGATTACTTAAAAGAATCCCAAGCTACTTGTAAAGTCAAACAGGGAACAYACATATCGTTTTGAGGAATTACTGATCTGCAGTCTTTTCAGGCAGCATTTCCATGCTTTGCTCATAAAACTGCCCAGTTGGTTGTATTCACTGAACAACAACATTTTTATTAATGATATGTTATATCATTGCACCTTTTGAGTAACTTTCTCTTAAACCCTCAACAGCTGTTTCATTCATCTGGTTTGATTAAAAAGATTTTTTAAATTATTTGCAAAGTAAAAACCAAGAATTTTACCTGTAACAAGCAGCAGTAAGGGATTGTTTCATTGATCTAGGTGAAGTGGAGAAGTTGGGTTTTTTTTACAAACTTCTTTACATACATAGGAAGCTTCTATAAACAACAGATGGACGTAAACATTTCTGAGGCTCACATCTAACCCYGCTCTTGTTTGAAGTTAACATTCCCTCAGTGTTTTTTGAGTGCTAATTAAAGATAATGAAATACTTAGCAATCTAAGACTCTAACACACTTCGTAACATTTCAATCCTACTACTTAGCAACACCTAAAAACTGGAAGGACAACCCCTTGATTGTAGAACTGYGGCAAACTGCAGCTGCCTTTACTTCAACTATGCAGATGGGGAGCCGGGTGAAATAGCTTTCTTCTGTAGAGGATTTAAAGATGAAAGTAGAAGGGGCTTTTCCCCTTAGATAGCTGCAATGAAGTACTGTTGATCTTTTTGTATTGTGTCATTCTTCCAAAACTGTAACAGCAGGCTTCTTAATTTTGCAGGTTGTGCATACAAACATGGGTAACAATATCATGTAATAAGATACTCTAGTCCTACCTGCTACACCTTCTTTACTAAGAAATCCACTAAAAATAGAATASAGACAGTTTCAGTTGCTGTGGTGAACTTGCATACATTTACAATCTAATTACAAAGAAGGTGAACTCTCTCCAAAATATTTACAGACTTTGTTCAGAAAGGAAAAATTTGCATASTGTTTTCAGCATTTCTTTAATCCCTGGAAACTGCAAGACCACACATGCAACATCAAAATGTCTGGTCTCTGCTCAAGAGACATCTAACACGGCACATCGGCACATGCTAATTTCAACTGAATAAGCTCTGCCATTATCTTCTAGTATTTCTTTTTCTACCTTCTAGTATTTCTTTTTCTACCTACTTCCAGCTTTATCTGGACAGTGCTTTTTAAACACAAACTTGGCCTTCATGGCAACCTTTGAGCACCTGAAGTTTAAGAAAAATTAAATCTGAAGTTCCTGATTACAGTAATTGTCTCCACTCCCATAAATTCCTTAAAAAGGAAGAATGTTATTACTGAGCCTCAACGAGCAAACTCCCAAAAGGGTAACTCACTGGGGAGAATAAGGAACTTGGCAACACAGCTCAGCCTCCTCAGAGACCTACTTCAAAAGAAATAAACAAGCAAATCTAAAAAGAAAAAAAAAAGGCAAAGCAAAAGCAGATACTGTTCACTTAACTGCTGTCCTGACCTTCATTTCCCAGACTTTATCAATTCATTAAAGTTCAAACCTTATTGTGAAAGCTAATATCTAAGTGTCCTTATGTCATTATACATGCCTCATGAGGCATAAAAAACAAGAGTGGGTAGTACTGGAAAAAGWACAAAGAAAAGCAGCAATACTTACCTGTGCCATGCATCTGTTTTCAAAATTCCTATTTTTACCGATCAGTCATTATCCACTTTTATCAAGTCAGATGCACTCAGGTTTATTCAAGATCATTTTCTTGTAATGTAATTGCAATAAGACAATGTAGTGTTACTGCCCAGGAAATGAAGGCATTAAGCAAGAATATTTTTTGCCCACAATGAAGATCCAATCATCCTCTACAGGTCTAATCAAAGTGAYAAATTTGTGTACAGTATGAAGGTARGCAGAAAGTTTTCCAGCTCTGTGSAACCATTAACAYCCTAATATACTGAATTAYCTTTATAGGGATTCTAAGCTGCCAATAAATGCTCTCTTCTTGATGATGGGAATGAACAGGTATCTCCATCATCTGTAACATGCATACCAAACCCACGTTTGTTTCTAATGCAATTCAGCTGGGACTCTGACATTAGGAACTCCTTTTAATTCTTCATCTTGCTGGAAAATGCTCATTCATTTCTTCAAGTTTTCTGCTCCACCCAAAGAGAATCAATTTGAAATTCAGCAAATAACATTTACTTGAAAGATGGCAACCATGGAGCATGGGAGTCACTCAGCATTGCCCTTCCTACRGAAATCCTAAGATTTCACAAAAAGTGGACAGTGTTTCAACTACRGGAAGAGCAGCGTCCCAAAATCAAAGCAAAACAATCAAATGCCTCCCTAAGGGCAAAATCTAGGCTTCCTTATTTCTTCACTTTTTCTCTGCCCTGGCTTTATTTTCACCAGGAAAGAGGGACAGTATRTGTGATGCCTTAACTATTTGCTGGCTTTTCTTCAGAGCATCTATGCATTGATTGACACCTATTTAAACTAAAAAGTGCAGGTAATGATAAAATAATCTTTTTTTCTCTCTTTTCCACAAAAGCTCCCTTCAATGAACTCTTGAAAATAAAGCAAATTTCTGCTCTGTTTTACTGAGTAATTTTGAGGTCTCCAGATATTGTCTGAAAACGTATTTATTTATTAACATAATTACTTAACTAACAGCAACAACTTAGTTCACGTKCAAGTATCATTTTTCTTACCTGTTGGATTAGGCCAGAATCTGATGTAAGGGTCTTGATGTTCACAGATGCAATTTCCAAAGTAACTTGGTCTGTTAGATATTCCTCATCTAAGGCAAAGAGTGTGAAATACTGGTCTTCCACTCRAACAAAAATTCAAATAGTAAGACTATCAAACATAAATTATAGTATAGGTGTCTAACATAAAAACTTTAAYTCCGTATCATGATCAAACACTGGGAACTGTTAGATTAAAAGTCCAAAATATTAAATCAGCAGAGACTGTAASAATCCTGCAGAGCATGACTGTGAGAACAAATTTAATCCTTGCAGAGATTAGAGTAGCAGTTGTTTTCTAAACAAACACCACACTATTTTTAAAGGAAGAGTCATGTTCTGCTTTCAGAAAGCTGACTGTAGAATATTAACAGAACCAATACATCCAAATAGGCTGAAGATGACTGTTCACAAGTCACTTTAATTTTTTATTTTGCTTTTCTCATCATATTTCAAATGATAGTTAAAATATGTACTGCATAAATATTTACCTTTTATTGTACCCCTTTGTGAACTGGACTCATCCTACTGATTTCTACTACACAGGAATTTGTTGAAGAGCTGAAATAATCCATTTCAAAATGTGTTTATGAACTGCCCTGGGAGTCCACTGAAAAGAACAGCATTCCCTAGGACAAACTCCAATAACCTTTCAAGCACCACTTCAGCCCTCAAAATGGGATAAAAATGATACATAAACCCTTTGTGAACCTTGTGCAAATGGACAAATTTCACTCTGTATGATTTGTAAGGTCCTCCTCATCAAACCRTTTGCATAATTCCCCTGAGTCAGGTGTTGACCAAGCATTAACACAAGCTCATAYAGGGTTATATTCTACATGTTTTCATATACAAGAATGCTCCATGCGGGTGACTACATCTGTAGAGCTCCTATGTTTCCATTTGTTGTTTGTCTAATTGTAAGATCTCATTGAAGAACCTTTATTATCTTTATGAATCATCACATAACATAAAGAAGCCATATTTTCTTATCTCACTCAAGAAATTGATCTGAATCAGAGAATTCATCCTTACACTTGCAAGAAAAAAAAAAAAAAACATATTATTTTCCTTGTTTTCTGATTTTGTAAGACTGTTCAAAGATATTTCAACCCCGGTAGAGTCAATGTTTAGCAAGGAACATCATTATTTTTTATGACTGTATGACTGTAGTTCCAGAGAAAACAACAAAAAAACCCAAAGGAAAACAAAGTCTGTCTGAAAACGGAGAGCATATGCATCAAAACTGTGGAAACAATGTGTGAAATTTGTTCTATATTTGAGTGGAGGCAGAATTATAATCAAATCATTATAAATACCAAGATTACCCCAGCAAGATAAAAAGTTCCCTCAACTCCRTTTTATTTCATAACTGGTAAAGGGTGCCAAGAGCTTTAATAAGTTAAGGCTCCAAAATGGCCCATTAATTAATTGACCAATGAAGCAAAAGACAGCTACTCTCACCAATGTACTGTCTGTTCAAACATTAAATCTGAAGCAAACATAACTGTGTTATGCAGAATCAGACCAGCACATCTGTTACAATTTTTAGTTCACAGACTCGTATGTCTAAACCTGCATTTTTATAGAAATAGCTATGAAAAGCCATTCTCAGAAAAAAAATTAAATTTTAAGAGGTATTAATATCATATTCAGCTTCAAAGGGGAAATGTCAAGCTATGTAAGCAATTGTACCTTCTTACACTTAGTAAGAGGAAGTAAAAATGAAAATTAAATATAAACCAAGTTTACTTCCTTTTTACAAAAAGTACTGACCTTTCTACTTATGTCTTAGCTCTCCCTTTTAAATTAGGTGCATTTGGAATACGCAATTTTGTATTTCAAACCACCTTAACAAATGTGAAATTTAGGAATTTGYCTAATTAATTCTGAGGAGGACTTAATGTCACAAGTGAAAAATAAAACCAGAACATGGAAAAGAAGGTTCCAGTGTAATTGCTTTAGTGCTAATAAACAATTTTGAAGGACAAAACCACTTGCCTGCAAATAAACAGAAACTAGTTTATGACTTCAAATAGTCTTCATTCCACATTATCCTTCTCTGCTGAGCAGCACTTTTGAGAAGATGCTTATTTCCTCTGTCTGGCTTCCTCAGGACCAGAATAATCTCCAACCTTCCTTTAACCCCAGTGGTACACTGCTCACACTGCTCAGCAGAGGTTTCCATTGTGACTAGCCTGGTTTCCTGTGTCTGTCCCACTGCAGAYCTGCTGTGCAACACACGATGGAGAACACACAACCTGCAGAGTGCTTCTCAACTAAACCCCTGCCAGTGCATTCCCTGGACAAAAGTCAATGGTGAAGCCTGAGATGACAACAAAAAAAATACCCCATGTGTCAAGGAAACAAAGAGGATATGAACACTGTGTAATCCATGTATTTGACTTCAGAACCTGCACTCCCTCGCTCATTTTCAGCAAGGAGAGGCAGGAACCTATGCAGAGTGGACCTAATAGCAGGTTCCCCAGTAGATGGTTTTAACACCTGCTGAAGGTAAAGACAGGATGAATAGTTGACTGGTTTTAAGGCTGCAAATGAAGTCAGAGGCAAAAGACCTGCAAGGTATTTCTTGATTGTATTTCTAACAACCTGAAGGCACTGGTAATCCTTCAAAGTCACCTTCTAACATCATGATGTCTCTACCGTCTGTTGTCTGAACCCTGTCTTTCAATGACACCACTGTTTTCCTTTCAGACTGAGAACTCAGATCTTCTGATGATCGTTTTAGACTGACTTTTAGATCAAAACCAAGCTTTGGAAGGAAATTTCAAAAGTTAGATGTACACACCAAACTGACCTTAAAAATAAAGAAGAGGGCATTACATTTAAAATATAAATATATAGGAAAAGTAAGAGCAGTTCAATTTGTTGGGTAATACCACAGGTTTATTGCATGTAACAACACAGATCAATGATATCTGAATAAACAAAATTCACAATACTTACCTTTAGGTACTCCTGTGTCTTGGACAGGATATTTTTCAGTCTGCCAAAGAAAGGCAAGAAACAGAGATGTGTGTTATTTTGAGTGTAATTGTGCTGGAGAAAGAGTATTTATATACTTATAAAATGCATTTTTATAAGTGCATAATTATAATTGTATCTCTCAAGTCGCTACTAGCTGATCTGTTCACCATCAGATACAGTAACACTTTGTGGAAACTGAGATGCTATTAACACTACTGATTAGCACATGAACAAGTAATAGAGATTGCTGCTTTGATCCAACATTTTTAAAGCTATTTTTAGTGAAAATGCAGAGATTAGAAAAGCAATTTTATACTGAAGTAGAAAGATAATCTTGAAAAGGTAATACATGCCAGGWGGAACAGAGATTACTTCAAATTCTCTTTTAGCAGATTCACCTTTTAATAAAATGCTACTGCATTGAAGGAAAAGAAATGTTTTCCCCTTCTGCTTCAAATTTAAATAGCCACTAAGGTGTAAGCTGTCATTACTGAGTTTAGGGAGATAGCTACCAATTCCCAGGTGTGTTATAACTTACTATTATACCTGAAATTAACCTCCTTCTCTATGACCATCACTCTTATGTAAAAGTAGCAACAGCTTTTATAGAAAACCACATTTTAAAAAGCCTTCATAGAATTTCTTATTACTTCTAYTCCCACTTCGGCACGAGACTGGGATGTTTGAGATCCCCACACAAGTGGTGCTCGTACGGCAGCGAGCACCAGAGGGAGCGGTTTGCTCCCTCCCGAGGCTCATCCGCGCCTGCCCAAGGCACTGCTGGCGGGTCCTGCCTTTCCACGGCTTCAAATCAGCTGCAGGAAGGAATAAGAGCTTAGTACCATTGAAACTGTAAGCCCTAGGTGGGTTTTTTTATCCCTCCAAACTGTATAGACAGAAGAACGYCAGCACCAGTTTTTCTCAACTGTTGGGGTTTTTTAAATTAAAGGGATGGCACTGCCACAGCCTCTGGAGGTTATGACGTGGACAGCTTCACTGRTACCATCCAATTCAGCTGATGCACCTGTTGGTATTTTCATTTACCGTTTAACTGCACAGGATAGTAAATTAATGTTTGTTTGTGCAATCATATAGATAAACTAAATCCTGTATATTCACTCACAGTTTGAGTTAGCATCCTTGAATGTTTTACCTCACAGCCACACAACATAACCATAGAGAGCTATAATGACTTACACTGCACTAGATCAGAAACACATACCATTGTTAAGGAAAGAGTGCTTGGATCCGTATCCTCCACTGGCTCTTTTGCTGCATGATCTGCTGGAAGTAAGAAGGCTTTATCAACCCATAATAATCAAAGTATTTCTGCCAGTTCATATTTTTCTTCTTTGTCTCACCAAGATAAAACACAACCATGCAGCCATTACATGCATTACATTGTATTTCCACACGAAAACATGACAAACTGGAAAATATCAGAATTACTAGCAGAGAGATGAGAAGCCACATGCAACAAGGAAAACCAACTCTAAGCTAACAAAAGATGGACTTAAATGAAAATCCTAAATTATTTTTAGGGAAAAAAAATCACAAAACATTTCAGCAAAAAATAATAAAATCCAATAATTTTTTAAAAGCTAAATTCTGTTCTCCTATTGACAGCATTCCATTTTTTCCTCAAAGAAATAATTCAAACAGGAAACAAACATACCCACTACAACAAAAATTAATACTATAACAAACACCAGATCAAAATAGAAAATAAAAAATACTAATAAAAATACATTTGAGGAAAATACTAATTATTTGTATGCAAAAGAACTATAAACTTCAACTATATTAATATCCTATTCCTAGTCTCACTGTTTTTCCAYTCAAACCAAGTGGCAAAGCATGCACCTTATGCTTGGTTTATTTTGAAGGACTTTCAGCTCCTCCTTACAGATTCTTAGTTGAATTAAAAGAAGAAATAAAGCAAAAAACCAACCAACCAACCAAAACAAAACAAAACCCCAGCACTTCCCTTTTCCCTTGTAAGAGGAGCCTTGAGGTAGATGAATGCAGACCCCACAGAATGTCCATGCTTGGTGAACCTGTCCACTGTAATTATGGTAAGGGCTTTGTCCCCTATCCTCTGTTACATCTCCAAGATATCACCAAGGTACATTTCTACACTGGTAACTTATTTTACACAATCTAATCCACTGGAAAAATGGGAGAAGCTCAGAAAATACAGGAATTTTAAAYGAGGACTTGAAAGACCCAAGGGTATCTCTACAAGAGGTGATGGGTTACAGTGTGGTACCTTTGACTCCTGCTTTCTAGGTCTCACACATAAATACAGWCATGGGAATCTATGACTCTGCATCYTTCTKGCTTAGCATCCATCCTGAGAAGTATTTAAAATTTGTATTTCATTCCCTATACCTCAATTGCTTCCCTTTCTTTACTAGYTCTTTATGAAGAATGTTAACTTCCATTGTTTTGTTCAGGTTGCAGAGCACTACCAAGTCCCAAGATTTTTTGTAAGTGGCATATATGTGTATGAGTATTTRTACCTAAGATTAGACTCCACCTATTGGACTGCAGATCTTTTTGACCACTGATAATAAGCAGTTAATCTGAAAAGCACAGAGCTAGTATTTTAYTGTGAATGAGGCAATTAGAATGCCCCTTCTCTCTTTCCCACAGGCATCTCCRCCAACATTCTGCAGCTCATGTCATACAGCCGGACACAGGTGCACAATGCAGTAGGGAGGAAAGTTCTCTGTTTATCTCAGATGTAACCCATCCACAGTTTTGCATGCTGAAAGGCCAACAGGAAATGAAGCTGTCATCTGACTGACTGATTTCATGGTTACTTTAASAGACAGCTTCATAACAACATTACCTGAAATCCCTCAGAAAAACACTACTACCATACTTGCCACTGACAGGATACAGACACTGGACCACATTTACTTCCCCACACTTCTGCAGGGAGCCACAAGAGARCTGACTCAGATGGACATAAATCAGCATGTGCACATTGACTCAGACAGACGTAAATCAGGTTCAGTGGTTGCTCCTGAAGCTCATTTCTGCCACACAGCACCTGCATGCTGCTAAGCAGCTGCCACAGCTCTGCCAGTCTGCAAGAAGAGCAGCAGAGCTGTACCAATCCCCACCTTTTCTCTGTTCAATACTGCTACTATAATGGGGTTGCAATGCTCTGCACTTACCAGTGCAGTTTTTCTGCTTTTCATCCTTGCATTGGGAAGAAGTCTGAAAGTGAGTTTTAGAGACCTCAGCATTCTGACCTTTAAACAAGAGGGGGCTCACAAAGTACTAAGTAGTAGCAGGTCTTCCCTTCTGTTATGGTTTTTCCCTATAACACAATCTTGATGCCACTGGTAGTGATTGAAGCATGTCAGGTTGGCTGTAATTACACAGTTCAACCATAAATGCAAGACCTTTTACACACCAAGGCTGGACATAAACACTAATACCTTAACTTAGCACAACTTAAACAAGCGATCACCCTAACACTAATGTTGTTCATAGAGATGAACCCTTCAATGACACTCATATATAAATGTTGCTTTGACTAGAGGCCTGTGAATTTCATATTAGAATAGGATGCGAAAATATGGCAAATTACATTAGAATATTCCGTTCACTGAAAAAATCTAAGTCCATCGGCACTTGTGCGTTTTTGTTTATTGTTAACTACTCAAAACTTTGCCTCCGTCTGAGCAGATAGGCAGGGGAAAATCTGTATGCTGGCACACCACAGGTGAGGTACTCAAAAGTCATTTGCACTATTACCTATTTAAGTTAATGCATGTGGATTTTTTTAGCCACCCGAACTCTGGAATTCTAAGGAAACGTCTCTAAAAAGGTCTTTATAATATGCTGTTAACTTACACGCTAAATACCGGAGCAGGCTTGACAAGACAAGTTGCACTAAATCACATCAGCAGAGCACATGATAAATTACAACCATACTTAATTAGCGTGCGCGGAGGGGGAAGGGAGCAMCTAACAAACTCTTTTCAACCCGGCCGAGGCTACGCTCCTCACCTGGCTCCCGGGAGCCGCAGCCCCGGGTCAGCCCGGCCCGGGAGGGGCGCCTCGGGCCGCACCCCGCGCATCGCCTGTCCCCGACCCCTGCGGGCCCCGGCAGCGATCGCCGCCCCTCGGGGCACCCCCGCCCGTCCGCCCGCCCGATTCCCACGGCGCCGGCCTCACCTGGGGGCAGCGGGTCCTGCGGAGCGGCCATGGGGCACGGCGGGTCCCGGGCCGAGGAGCGCGACGCACCCGGAACCACCGCCCCGCCGCGCCGCCCCCTTCCTGCGCCGCCCCGCCACAGGTAGGGCGCTCCCGGGAGGGACGGAGCGAGGCAGGGCGGTCCCACCCCTGCCCGTCGCGGTGCGACACACTCCGGGATAGAAAGCGCGTTCGCCGGGAACCCGCATTTCCCAGCTCCCGCAGATACGTCGGGTTGCACGGAGGTGCGGGAGGCGCTCCGCTGTGAAAACGCCGTGTTTCGCTGAGAACACAGRCACGGGGTGCATATACAGCTCGTCGAGTAGTGCTAGTTCGGACCTAAAAGTGCGCTACTTCAACAACATGCAATCGAGTCCTCGCTCTCCTGTTCTTGCGGACATTTACGCGCTTAAATCACTGCCCTCAGACAGAGAAAGGCGATCTCCATTAGGGCTTAAGGTGCATCTGCAGGTGGCTCAGCCTGCACGGACAGAGTTTACAAACGCAAGTGCTGCAAAGCAACAATCATAAACTTCMCCGGCTTCTCACAGATACTTAAAATTCGTCCTCTTATGCTACAGACACATCAGCTATCATGACGCTGTTAAATTTTCGGATGTAACTGATTTGAGACCCGACTGTCATCGCTGGCAAATTCTCTCACAGACGGTTTCAGTGTAAAGTAATACAGGCTTCTTAAATGGGGTCTGGCCATGACATTACTCTCTAAGTAAGAACTATTATGTATTGCTATTTATTGTGCAATGCAAGCAAAAGAAGCCAGCACAACAAAATTTGCCATTCTAAAGATCACATTTGTGAGCCACCTCTTTATGAAAGAGGTAAATTTACAGACAGATTCTGTTCCGTTGCACTGAGACAGCTCAAATTCAGCCAGCTGGCTTACACTGGCATAACTAAAAGTAGCCTTTGGTCCATTAAGCATTAAAATTGAGTGCTTTTCCATGGATTATTTTCCATCTCTCGTGCATGTTACAAATAATAATTAAAAAAGATAAAGATTAAATTGCTCTTATTTTCAGAATTTAAATTGATAACAGTAGYTGTCATCCTGTTATTCGGCTTTTTGCTAACATCAGTAATATTAATGTTGTTCAATGATTCTCTTACTGAATTTGAGAATTCTTTAAAAGAACAAGCCTGAGAGGAGAGCTCTTATGATGTAYCTCTGAATCATCCTATGGGTGAAAGTACTAACGTGATATTTAGAAGATTCAGAGCATCATCCTTATTTCATCTGAGATAAATGGAGGCTTTGCCATTGGCTTTAACACACAAACATGTACATATATTTCTAAAAATCTTACTCTCCAAGGTACAGCTAACAGATGACTGAGACCTCTGCAATTCATGATGTGTAAAAAACAAAGAAATTTTTTTTATGCATTTCATTGGAGTCCAACTGTTCAAGGTGTCAGCTGATTCTCATTTCTTCCACATTAATATTGAAACTCATTCTCAAAGAATAGAGGCTAGTTTAAAAGGGTAGTACCTTTTAAAGTGTAATTAGACTAGTCTAATTAGAAATAAAACTGCTGATTCTGTGTTTCCCTAGATTTCCTTAGTGGCACAGTTTTTAGTGGTGGATAATTAGTCTGAGAGCAGAAAAAGTGTATTTTTATTTACACAGATCTGCACAAATATAGACTAATAATTGGAGTCTCTTCCATWACTGTGAGGAATGACATAGCCACAGCAGAGCTAAGAATTCTCTGTATTTTAAAGCTGCCTGATTTATGCTTCAATAGAACAAATGCCAATATTATCCTGAGGATTTCTATGTATGTATTTCCTCTGAGTGTTGTTCAAAAACTACTGGCTTTAACCCCAAAACTAGACAGAGTGACTGCAAAATCTTTGGGGAAATGTATTTAYAACCTACATAAAAATGTATCCATTGATTTCCTTCAAAATATCCCTAGTGTACTATTGTTACACAGATGGCTCTAAACTAGAGAAGGCTACAAAACATTGGTGTTGTGGGTTAAGCCAGATTTTACAACCAACATGGCATTTGCTCTTCTCATAACTTATAACCTGAAGTCTTCCTACTATAGGATGAAAAAATTATTTCAGTAAAGAATAACAAAATATTTTAAGTGGAACGACACTTGTGCCAGCAGCCAAAGCTGATTAATGTTGTTTAAAATAATGTATTTTAAAAAGTATATCTATAAATTACATTTGCTTTCCAMTTTGCAGCAGATTTTAAACAAATTATTTATGAAGAACTCTTCAAAATAATGAAATGTAATAATAAAAGAGAATAGTCTAGATAATACTAGTGCTTTAATACTTAGATTACTCCTCGTAATTTAAGAGTTTTTTCCACAGTACTGAAGGAGGAGACTGCAATTACTTACAAACATCTCTAGAGCACTGTTAGCAGTAGAGATTAATTTGACTGTTGCATGCCTGTTCTTGTATTATTCTTTAATGAGTGTTGTAGAAATCTTTGTTACTTAACTGGCTGACCAGTGCAGAAAGCCAGGAATTGTTTTGGCAAAGCTAAATAAAACTGTATCATAAAAGCTAAGTCCACATAAGACAAGTTTAAGCAACGGCCTTCTGTAGAATGCTGGACTGATTTTCTCATCAAATTTCTAGACTTAAGTAATCTATATCTTACCTCGGTATAACCCTATAAACTACAATACGCGCATCACTAACCGTAATGGGAAGAGTTCAGGATTTTGTAAATTGCCACTCAAATACAGAATTAATGATTTCAGATAGTTTTCACAAATCAAGTCTATGCAGATCTCACTTCTCTTGGCCCCATCAAAAACCCCAGCCATCTTTGATGAGGACAGAGGCTTTTCTCAAAGATCTACAAATATCTGGTAATATATAACTGGAGAATTTATGGTTTGAAATAGCAATTAATCCACAATCTCAAGGGGCTTCCCCCTTCTGAGCACAAGACAAAAGCATGGACAATATATTCCTCTCCAGAAAAATATTGCTGTATCCCAACAGCAAAAA